TATATATATATATATATATATATATATATATATATATGTGTGTGTGTGTGTGTGTGTGTACGTATATATATTTTATTTCAGAGCGAAGTGGCTAAGCACAAGCGAACTAGGATACATGGCGAGTTCAGAGATTTTATCGATGTTTACCTGGCGGAAATAAGCGCCGAGCAATCAAAGCTGATTGTATCGTATTTCGATGGTACGGAGCCTTTACGATAATTGAATAAGTCGACAAATAAAATGCAATGCCATGCGATAGAAATATGAATCTAGGCGTTTGTTGAATTTCTCTCGTATTGTGAATCTTGTCAGAAACAGGAAAATACGACAGTTACATTACGGAAAAAAATACGAGTGCAATACTACGACAAATAATAATGAATGAACGATAATGTAAGTAACGATAGTAAATAGGAGATATTATTCACAAGTGATTTGCTCAATTGGACAATTGTACAAATAAACGCCACAGGTTTGCGCGCGTATTAAGCTTTTCAAGCTTCGAAGCTGTGCGAATTTTTCCTAAGAATACTGTCGTTTCAGAGGAGCAATTAATTAGCATCGTGAGAGACCTCTTCAGTGCCGGCGTGGAAACGACGAACAACACAATTGGCTTCGTAATAACATATCTCGCGGTAAGGCAGGACGTGCAAAGGAAATTGCACGAGGAAATCAAGGAAGTTCTAGGCAAAGACACCCTACCTCGCATAGCGCACAAAAATCGGTAAACGTACACTTTAAATTTCTCGAAGTAGCATCTCACTCAAAACGATGAAGTACGGCAGTACTTTCATTTATTATATTATATTTTGCTAAAGATTTAATGATATATTTAGATGTTAAAGATTCTGCTAAAGAGATAAAATTATATTTTTTGAATAAATAATTCGCGGCGGTCACATTGCTTTTAGAGTGGAATTTCACTCCAAGAAATTTAGAAGGTAGATTTCACAATACTACTTTTTATTTACCGAATTAACAATCCAGATTATACAATCACAAAATTTTTCAGGCTGCCGTATTTGAACGCGACGATAGCGGAGGTATGGAGAATGTCAAATGTAGGTCCTACTTCGATTCCTCATCGAGCGACGGCGAATACGACTTTACTCGGTTACGAGATAAAGAAAGATTACACCTTACTGGCGAACTTTATAAGCGTACATATGGACGAAAAGCATTGGGGCGATCCGAAGGAGTTTCGGCCTGAGAGATTTATCAACGACGAGGGCGAATACGTCGAGGATCCTTGGTTAATGACGTTCAGCTTGGGTAGATACAAGAGAGAAAATATTTCTATATGCTTTATCCTGTAATATATACGCGAAGATTATAATACAGCAATCGAACAGGTCGTAGAAAGTGCTTGGGCGAGACTCTGGCGAGGCACAGCATATTTCTATTCGTCGCATGTCTGCTACAAAAGTTCCGCTTTGTGTTACCCGCAGGACATCCGGATCCGATTTTAGACGGTATCGACGGCTTCACAATCGCGCCACCCGATATAAGTGTTCTCGCTATTAAAAATACGTAAGTTTGTCAACATGTTGGAGTATCTCAGACGAATATAAAGTTTCATAAGAAAAAGTAAATAAAATTTTGTTCTAAAAAAACAATAAATCGCATTCAATGATGTAAGGAATACATGTTAATGCTTTACGTTGCGAAAGAAACTAAATCATAGCTTATACTCAATTGACTGTCGAAAATTAGCGGTTAGAAAAAGAAATATGTGTACATTCCTAGAAGTTATATAATGGACCATTAAGTACACTTGCTTTTTATACCCGGCTAGATCTGAAGTTACTTTTTAGACGTTAGAACGTCTATATACGTCGAGTAACGTCGGTTGTGAGAACTATATTCATAAAGATCGTGTCTGATATTCGTTGCTCAAAAGCATAATCTTCATTGCTCATTTGAACCCAGCCCTTATAGAAATTTAATACTGATAAGTGATAATTTGACCAGTGATAATTACTGTCGTTCAATAACTTTATTACTCGTACGAGCAATAAAATTACTATTTATTACTGGCCAATTTATCACAGCCAGTGATACTTTTCTATAAGGGAGATTTAGTTATTATTGTGCACAGACGCTGTGACAATAAAACTAATAAATTGATAATTATGTATGACGGAATAGTCAAGAATTAATCGCTATATTTGTACAATGGCGATAACCTTTATTTCGTTTCTTAAATACAAGTTCCTGCCTCAAGAGTAATATTCGAGGATTCTATTTACACTTGATGTACAATCAACACATTGTCTATTCACAAGAAATGCTTACAGGAAGTCTTCTTCTCACGTTTCACAATCCCCGAGGGGACGTCCTTCTATCTTTCCTTTATCGCTGACCACAAAAATTGCACGCTTTGGCGTCACTCGAAATAACGAACCAATCGTTTTAATTTGTTAAACGCTTTCCTCCGCTCTCACGTCGAGCACGATAAACAATGGAAGACAACGGATTCGAGATTCTCATGTAAAGACCGTACCAGCATGAAACAAAATCGTCGTCCCTCGTGACGCCGAAATCATCATTCGTCACGCGAGAACGCTCCACGGAGACTCTCACTTGCCTCGAAAGAATCGACCAATGAATGAAAATCCAGGATTTGCCGGGAGAGCCGGTGATACTTCCGCAATAAACAAAATATATATTCTCGTATATACAATCGTAAAATACACGACTGGCATGGACGTCCATTTTAATTGACGCGTTAACATCCTCACGCAAGGATTCTTTCAACATGCCAGAGAGTAATGTGTATGTATACATATATCTAGAGCTCAAACAAATACGTCCGGATATACAGTCGGACGTAACGTGACAGACGCATAAAATGATCGTACACGACAGGATAGAGAAGTTTCGAATCTATTTACACTATCAAGAATTTGGAGATTCGTATGGTCCACACAGACGTAACTCTTTCCTAAGAGCGATAATATCTATAGTATATGTAGTCATGATCCAACAATAAGTGTCGACTATATCTAGTAAGGAAGTGGTTGAAACTATCACTCAACCGATTTATCCTCAAAAATATTCTCAAAACATGAAAAAATTCATTATTCCCGAGGGATGTTTCCAAACCTTGATTAGAACACATATAAGAAAATATGAGTTTAATATTTTTTTTATGCTCTACAACATACCCAAAACTCACCAAATCGGTAGAGGACAATTCCGACCGTTTCCTTGTGAGTGACAGTTTTACGATCTCGGCGGATTCGGTACAAACACATTTAAAGTTCGTGGAACTTATATAATTAAACTAATTAATAATAATTGTAATTATTCATAATTATAATTGATTATAAATAATTTGAATTAATTATAATTATAATTAATTATAAATCATTGTAATTAATTATGATTATAATTTTTGATCGGTTTTTATCGGAAGCCATTGATCACAGTACGATTAACACGTAAAACTTATACAAATTATGACAAATCTACACGAAACAGAAAGGGACAGCACGAGCACGACGATAAATTAATACGACTATAATCCGCGTATAATCCGCGGCCGTGTGAGGTTACAGATACAAATGATTGGCGAACACTCAATTCTTCCGTGTCGGTACCAAACTCCGCGAAGAGAGATAAGGTGCGATTCGTACATGTTACCGTATGATCATTAAACGTTAGCTATCTCAATGGGAACAAACGTCAACGATTAGTTTAGAGCTTGAACCGTTCGCGCAAATTCGCGCAAGTTTAACAGAGAGTTCGACGATGTCCGGTTAGACCTCCGGTCAAACCTCGGACAATACGTTTACGATATCTCAAAAATTTCTCCTATTATTTACATTTGTCATGTGGGAGTACCATAACGATACCTAATCTGCGCATTCACAGTCTCGCGCATCGGCCTCATCGTCGCCTTCATTTTGTTCGCGTGTCATTAGAACCTAGAGAACCGATTGCTATCGGCCTTTCGAGATAATTCACGCGCGATAAGAATAACGTTTCGCCGAGACTCAATTACCGAGTAGAATTCCGAATGATTTCCCCTCGCAAGAAGATAGAAATCACTCATTGCGACAAGTTAATTCGTTGTTCTTGCTGCAAAACACACTCGTAATCGGAAAGGGAAATTCCGCTGATAAATTGTGCACGTTTTACAGTCGCGAATAGCAACGTGGTGTTGTCCCAGAAACGAGCAAATCCCTTAGAAGTATCAAGAGATGGAGTCGTTATCAAGACGACTTTACAGAATTAGAGAGAAGAAGAGAGAAGTAGAGAGAGACAGATAGAGATTCTAGATAATCCCAGAAGTTACAGTTTTATTGCACCTTCACTGCGTAAAGGCCGAGAAAAGACGAGATTGTCGCTAAATTACGTCGACATTCTGCGCAATCCACAGACCAATTCTGTCCCTGTGCAGTGCGTTTCTTGCCTGAATTGCGCCGTGATTCGAGACTAGATGACATCCCGCCTGCGCGAGCCTCAGGACGACAATGCCAGACCCAAGCGCGCGAAGACCATCTCCTTCCTCAGCCGCATAATCTCCCAGTAAATGTCATGAACTGCAAAGGTAAATTGCGAAATTCGAGTGGAGGTCGCTACTTTTTAACGACCACAGTATATTCAGGTATATTTGTACTGCAACGAATCGTATTTAATATCACGCTTTCGATTGTGACAATGAGAACAAAAAGTTTGTATCAGAGATCAGTCGTTAAGCTGATTAAAAATTTGTCGAGAGCTCAAATGTTTCTTAACTAAAAAGACATTTATTTTCAAGCATTCATTTCTCCAAAACTAACAAACATATAGTAAAAAATGTATTGATTATTGAAATGTTTCCTTTTCGTATCCTGCTTACGTATAATCCTGCTTATAATCCTGTTTATAAATACAATCAAATGTGGCAATTTATTAGGTATCATCACATATAAGAACAAATTATATATATAGTAAAAAAATAATTAATTTCTTTCTTAATTTATTATATTTAAAATATAATCTCTCTCTCTCTCTCTCAATAATCATGAGTCAATATATTTTCTACAAATGATATTTGAACGACAATTTTGTTTTTTAACATTGTCCTCATGCTTATTCCATACAAACTCTCCGAAACTTACCTGAGCTTTTGACAAGGCCGCGCTCAACGTATCTCAAGTAATTCAGAAAGTCGCACACCGCTATGATCTGTAATAAGACATGCGGTCTCTCATACAACGGAACTTCTCGAGATTGGAATATCTCATTAATTCACTCTACTCACTCGATTGCGACAGATCTGCGAAATGCAGTGCCATTGATTCTCCTGATCGCCAAGTCGCATACGATAATGGCATTGCCGCGGTGCTTCCAGCAGCGCACATTTCCTGAAAGCACAGTGCCGTCATTATCTCACAGAATCCATTCATAGCGCGTAATCAGTCTCGTTTGCAGGATGAATATTTATAACGAGCGATGCATTCGCCCGAGTACGTACTTGGGGAAAGCGAGTCTCGTCTTGTCGCTGACTGATTCGATGAAAATGATGCCGTCCAAGACGGCTTGCCTGACCTTGGAGCCCAATTCTTTGTTAGGGAAATCCAGGCAGAGGTCGATATCCTCCCTAAATACCCTCGCGACGAAGGGATCGCTCTTGTCGACGCATGGATTCGCCTTCCATCTGAGGAACTCTGTGTATACCCTCGGATCGACCTCCAAACCGAAGTCCTTGCACTCCCGTTCTCTCTCCTTCTCGCGGTCTCGCTTCCAGTCCCTCTCGAGCACCTCTCTATCCGTCGGTAAAGGCGGTCTTTGTTCTTTCACCGGCGAGTCGGGCGGCGAATTCTCCCGGCCGTACTTCAAATTGAAGTGCGACGGCGATCTACATCGGAATTGCAAATCGTCCTTGAGCGCATGCTGCTCGTTTGCATTTTGTCTCGCGGCGCTAAATAAGGATACGCCTCTAATAAATAATGATCCGGCTAATAAATAATAATCAAGCCGTTTGAAGCTGAACACCCTGTAGACCTTTAAACATTACCCATTCAGCAGAAATATCTAAAAAGCATCTCAGAGACGTCTCAATGATATCCTACTAGTTCTGGAGTCGAATAAATTTTACTTTCTTAGTTCTAAATAAATTTTACTTTCTAAGTAAACTATTTCAAAATTTTGTAAAAGTATTAGGTTTTCTTTAACTTCTCAAGGATATAAAAATATTTTCTTCAGAATTTTTAATGTTTTATATTTTTCAGTGCAGCCAATTACCAAACTTCAAAGATATTTGCTAGATATTTGTATCGAAATAATAATTCTATCACATTGACGACGCGCTTTTCTCACGAACTTTTTAATTCGTACTTCTTAATTATTAACAACATCTATTTATGAGGATCTTGAAAAAATGAACGAAATTCAATCGATACCTGCGATGTTTCTTCGTGAAAAGCCCTTGCTGGCTCTCCTCTCCGGCACGACCCTTCGTATCAATCTGAGGATGCAGGTGGGGATTCGGTCTCGACGGCGTGGACGTTAGCACCAAAGTCTTCAAAGCAGCTACTTCGGCCGCGAGCACCTCCGATTTCATACGACTCTCTTCCAGAAGACGCTCCGCCGTCGCCTGGCGTACGTTAGCCTCTCGAACCATGTTATGCGCCTCCTGAAAATACATCGTGTTGTGCGCGATAACTCTTCCATTTCTCTCGTTATTATTTCTGCTATTCGTATTTTATACATTCGATTTGATTAAATAAGAATGAAAGCTCTCAGCTGTACAATCAAGGTTAATTAAATGCCCTACAATAAAGGATAATTTATTTTTAAACAAAAAGCGCATGAGAGTAGAAGGTTAAACTTCTTATAATTAACCTTGACTATACATATTCTATTTATATCATAAATGTGAGAATTGTATTCTATTTATACTATTACTTATCCTTGAGGAGAAGAAAGAAACTTACTTGAAAGAGACTGGCAGTGAGTTCCTCGAGCTCGGTTTCCACGTCTTGTCTGATGCGCGACAGTCTAGCCACCTGCTCGTCCTTCAGCTTCAGCTCCTCGTGGGCCCTCTTGAGCTCCTCCTGCAATTTCTCCACAGCGTGCTCCTTCACCTCGGCCACTGCCCTACCCCACTGCAAGGTGGTAGGCGACGGTGGGCTGTTGATTTTCTTAGGAACGCACAGCAATTCCTGCTTCGGCAACGCTTCCGGCTGAAAACAATTTCCACAAATCTTTTTCTCGCGAATTCGCCACGACTGTCAGACCCGGGGATTTCGAGGATAACGCATTACCTGTGTGTCCTTGGACAGAGAGGATCTCCTGGAGGACTCGCGGGAATTGTCTTTCTTCGTCGAACCTGTATCGACATTCCCGTCTTTCGCTTCATCCGCCGAATCAGCTTCGCTCCATCGGAGATCCAAGGGTCTTGCGCGCTGAGTCTGAGCCTTCAGAACTTCCGGCTCGGAAGATTTCAGCTTGTCGCAAGGCTTCGCCGACTTTTTCTCCTCCGACAAATTTCGATGTCTCGACAGAACACCCTGCAGCTTCTCGTTGTACGTGAACAGTGAGGTGGTTTTGCTTGAACTGGAACTGAAATGTGCAATTCGTCAGGATAATCGATAATCTCTACTATGACGTTGGGCAACAATTAAATTAACAATGTATATATGTTAATAATTAACAGCATACAATTTTACCTCACATCGACTGAAAATTTAAATAGGTGTAATTTTCTGTAAATTTTGATTCTCTCAACGCGAAAAACAAATTCTAGGAAATTGGGAACTGACAACACATATTAATAATCAACATACAATTTCATTCTTTACATCGACTAAAAATTTAAATAATTTTCTTGTCAATGTTGATCCTTTCTCTCATATTCACGAAACACAAACGCTCTCTGAAAACCTGAACGCACCTGTCACCCAGGAACTTGTTGTCATCTTCGTCGAACAGACTAGTCGGCTCCTCGTCCTCGTCCTCGCGCTTAGTGGCGTACCCAAAGAGATCGGTGGCCGCCCTCGCGAGGTCGGACTTGAGTATAGGATGAGGCGGATGCAGACTGGCGCCGATCGAGCAATCGGCCTCGTCCGTATAAAGCTCATCCTCGTCAGTGGTGTACTCCTCGTCGCCCGTCGTCCCGGTGCTTCCGGCTCTCCTGTGCTTGGTGGTGAGCGGTCGGTAGGCGTACTCGTTCGAGCCGGAAACCGATTCGTTGGACTCCATTGACTCCGGCTGCTGCTGCTCCTGTACTTCCTTCATGATATACACTCCTCACCGCGTGAGGCCGGATGCAGCCGCCGAGCTTGCCGGAATTATCAACGTCTCCGCATTGACTTGCTTCGCGAGTGACAGGTGGCTGGAGTTCAAAGTTGCTCTTCAATGAAACGTCTTCTCTTCCCTCCCCTTTGCCTCGGAAGTGCAGCGATGAAATGTTCGTGCGTGGTTTCGACGACGACCGCAAATTATTTCTGCAGGCGGGAAATAATCAGGTGCCTTCGTTATTCAACATCGACAAATTGAGAAGTTCGATGTATCACGATGAATAATTATAAGGAGTAGAGAAAATTTATAGTGTTTCAACCAAAAAGATTAAATTCAAAGAGAAATTCGGTTTGCTTAGTACACTGAAAGAAAATTTATAGTGAGAAAATTTATGGCGAGTATAGAGGGAAAATTTATGATTTTTCAAAAATATTTAATTCAAAGAGAAATTGCTTTGTTTGGTATACTGAAAGAAAAGGAAAGGTTGATCTAACTAAAATTATAATTATTTTTGGCCCCAACCATATTTTTTTATTGCCCTAATATGAAAAATAATAATGTGCATATTAGATTAGTAATAATGTGCATATTAAATTATGATAGTAACGTTATAATAAAATTTAATTAAAAAAGTGTTTTCAGCAAAAAAAGAATTCTCAGCGTAATTTGATTTCAGGAACATTGACGCGAGCGTCAACGTGAATATTCGTGCGATCGCGTTATCGGAATTTGCGGAAATCGCGGCGGAAACCTTCCTCGCGCGAAGCCTTACGAAAAATCCTCGCTTTATAAATAACTCCGTGAATATCTCGCACATATTCCGGGCAGCGAAACGCGAACACGCGTGCTACACGCACATGGCCACCGTCGGTCATTACATAAGCAAACTTCGGGAAATTTAAGCCTATTAACGACCACGACCACGTCGAATAAACCTGTTATTCGCCACGGTCATTACATGATCGCGCTAAATTACGCGCCGCGAGGATTCACGTTACTAACGTGAATTAATTTTAACAAAAAGGAGATAAAACGAATAAAACAAGCGCGATTCAATTATTTACGCGATTCGGTTATTTCGAGCGTACCTGTTAATCCGTCGTATACAGTGCCTCTTGCATCGCATAAAATATTTTGCTGGATGAAAGCATTTGACTAATGTATAACTTTATTTTTATATTTCCAGCGGCTAATTCCCAGAGTTATATCAACGCCCTTACGCTCAAAATAGCCCTGACACCAATCCGTGACTTCTGGGAGATAAACAGACTGGTGCTTTAATTAAAGTATATTTCTGAATTAATTACGGTCTTTATATAATGGATTGAAACGAATCAACAACTACACACGGTATTTTATGCGTGCTGCGCACGTGTGTCTGAAAGCGCGAAAGAGAGATACGCATCTGACGACTCTCTTTCAACCGACTTATTCCCCTTGCGACACCACTTCGCTTAACTGCTAACTAACTAATGTCCACGTTCATGGGATACAATTTGACGTAATGAAAAGGAATGAGCGCTATCGTGCCGCACGCACGTCCTTACGTCACTGTGCCAGATCGCGTGGCACACATTAATACATGTTTAAAGGGACATTTGTACGACGGTGCAGCCAGCAGCAGCGCGGCTTTCCGATCTGTCAAATCTGAAATGTCAAATCGAGAGAGCAATTAGCGGGCCTCCCCTTGGAGTTCGCGCGCGCGTTACAGCTTCGTTGATGGAGTTACTCGGTGAACGGCAAGTTGAATCGTCGCCTGAGTGGAATACGATACAACGCAATTCCGCCAGCGAAATGATCGAATGCAAATCCGACACGTCGTTACACACCGCGCCGCTGTATATTGAATAAATCAACGACCAGCCGTAACATCCCTGGGCCGCGCGATATTCTCCAATTCCGCTTTTAATAACGTGTTCAGCGGCGCTCTACCGTTACGCACCTCGTCCCGGTATAATGCGGGAATGCAAACACGCGCTATCTTCTGCCTTGATGCCGCTAATTGACGCGAAAAATATGCGGAAGCGCGGACTGCAAATCGCTTTTGCGTATGACGCCATTAAATATTCCGCGACCGTCGCTCGAAGTTTATTTTCCACGAACACACGCATCAATTTGAAGTTTACTCGAAACTGCGAAACGCGAGGCGGGACTTCGGCGATGAGTTTCGCAGAAATCGCGCGACTTTGCGATGTCTCTGCAGAAAAACACGTTGTCCAACGTTATCCCTCGCGCTTATTCCTCCTTGAAATGATTCGCGCGAGCTGCCTCGGCAGCTTCGCGATTTTTGCGATCCGGCTCCTCGAACAATACTAACGACTCTGTTCGATCCAGGGAACAGGTCGCGCGGATTGTTTCCGCGCATTCTCACGAGCGCGAACCGTTAACAATGTAACAGCCGGTGCCGTGAAACACACGAAGATGATTTCCTTCGTGGCTATAAAGGGGACGCGCGGGAATTGCGTCACGGTTAAATCGTGATCGTGCGAGAAGGCGACGACGGCGAGTGGTACAGCCGGGCACACACGTTACGCTTATACGAACACCTCTCGCCGTCGCGGGTCGCGGGTCAGAGCCACGCGGTAAACAGCGCGCGAATCGCGAGAAATGTAATAATAATTTCATTGCAGAAGCGCGAGGAGACGCGAGAAAGTCGCATGTGGCAGATAACGATATCAATAGAATCAATTAGACTGAATCGAAATTAAACTACGTCGAAATTGGAGTCACAAAAACAACCTGAGTAAAAGATCTTCTCCCATAAACAACGAGCAAGTGTTGACACATTGAGAGGAAAAATATCTGAAAGATAAAAAATATTGTTTCGTTATATTAATAACATATTTTGATAAGATTAATAACATATTATGATAAGATTTTAAGAAAATGTATATTTTTTTATTTTATAAAAATATCTTTTTATTTAAAAAAAACATTTTGTATTAAATGTAAGTAAATATATGTTCGCAGTACCAACGAATAAATATTTTTTATTTTTTAGATATCTCCTCTCTCACAGGAAGGATGTGCGAAATTGGTAGGCTGATAGAAAAAATATATAAAAAATAAAAAATATTTATTCGGTGAATACTAATAACGTATTTAAATTTATATATTTATTTTTATACTTTTTATGTGCATAAAATAAACGATCATATGAAAAGATAAGATTTTAAGAATATATATATATATTTTTCTTATTTAAAAAATATTTTATATAATTATCATTGGTATAAGAATCGAATAAGTATATTTTATTCCTTAGATATTTTTTTCAAGTAGAAATATACCGACAAATATGAAATTGTAACGAACGGAATATGTATTCGATCGAAAAAAATTCCTAAATTAGTCTAATATTAGATGTTCCTCGCGTGTTATATTTTGTAAAACGATAGCGATGAGAAAATTCGAGAGTAACCGGCACGCTCTTCGCGAATCGATTCAGCGGAGCGCAGAATAAACGACAGAACGTCATTACGTCGTTCAGTCTGAAATAGCTCTCGCTCTCTGACGGGGAGAATTTTGACTAACGAGCTTCGGTCACCTCGAGATCTCAAGCGCAGTGATCCGCGCAGCCACGAGAGACGGCGACCTCGCGCGACGACACCTCCGCTGAGAATCGATCGAGGAATCTCACGGGGAACGCGACAGCGCTGCAGCCCGTCGATTCTGGAATATCCCGTGTGCCATTTATGATCCAAGCTGACGAACGCCGGCGTGCTCGCGCGCACGAATGCAGAACCCGGGGTCGTACGGTTGTACGGATCGATATCGTTTCGTGCTTCGTTACCCGGCTCGTAATCCCGCGCTCAATTATCAATTAGCACAAACCACCCGAGATCAAGAGACACGATTAACGAGGAGATAGACGTTCACCGTGAAAAAAATAGCGCCAGGTAGATCCACCGATAAAGCCACCGAGATATACGGCCCTGGCCTTGCCGGCTCTCTCACGCCTCGTGTGTGCCAGTTATGCCCCGTACACACCGGTGCCTGAATCGCCGGCGTTTCAGTGGTGTGAGTGCGTGCGTGCCTATTACTCATTTACCGGCATACACACGTACACGTGAAGCACACGTACACACGAAGCCCCGTGCGACCGTGTACCAGTCGCAGACACGCTCCATGAGCAGCGTGGCACGACGATAAAAGATACGACCTACACTTATCCATGTTTGCTTTCGTTCGCCCGCCCGAATATGAACGAGAGAAGGCAAGGCCTTCTCTCGCTCTTTCTCCGCGCATGAAATCATCGTCCTTTTTCCGCGAGACGTTGTGCAAAGCGAGAACCACCATGGATAACCCACGTAGGACTTTGATGCTGCGTCCGCAGGGATAGAACCCGGAAGACGACCTTTGCGCTTGTTTGTGACGATAAGCGAAAATCAGAGTAAAATCCTCTCAGCACGTATCCGTGGAGTGTAAAGTCGCAACCACGTTCGCCCGAATTCTTGAGCTCCACGGAAACAGTGAGTCAGGATTTTCGAATAGAGCTTGCGTGGGCAGAGTCGAAGAGTATTCGGTCCGCACGTTCTCTTTCTCTCTCCCGTTGTAGTCATAATATCTTCACCTTGCCGTGCGACTTAAACCCACACTAATAGCCGTTACTTGAAACTTATTCTACGTGACACGCTCAGATCTGAATTTAAAATTAGTTTTGAATTTTTCATCAGTACCATACAATGTATGCGACGTTGCAATTGAAGTTGCGAGTCAACTGAAAACTCACATCTAACTCTAGATTCAAATCAGTGTATATCACTTGAGGCAACTTTCATATAATGACTCCCATACGGCTCTTAAATGCGTATTAATAGTCGTTACTTGGAACTCGCCTCAAGTGAGACACTCAAATCTGAACTTGGAGTTCAACGTGAGTTTTTCAATTGAATCGCGACTAAAATTATATAATACCACGAATATCGCATAACTCGAATAAAACACTCTGATATAACTTGAAATTTAAATCCGAGTATTTCAAATGAAGGAAATTTCAGATTCTGTGGAAAAATCAAATTCTAATATATGCAATATTTGTATCCGCAGTCGCGATTTAACTGAAAAATTCTTCATCCAATTCTAAACTAAAATCTGAGTGTCTCGCTAGAGACGAATCTCTAGTAATAACCGTTAGCACGGGCCTTAGTGACGCAAGCAGCAGATTTTCATCCTCGCGTCCGGTTTCATCAGCGACGACGAAATAATACTTTATTCATCGCGCAAATCCTATTCACACGCGCGCGTACGCGCACACATACGCGCTGAATAAATATATCCGCTCTCTTTTTGCCCCCCTTTTTTTCGTCAAACGAACAATACAAGGAAAGAGACCTATTCATGAATAAGTTACATTGCGTTCGGCGAAACGTCGAGCACGAGGCACAGAGAGAGAGAAAGAGAGAGAGAGAGACACCGTAATTTCAATATATGCTAATCTATCAAGGGAAGGGAATTTCAAATCCACCGCCCCGTCAACCGCGCCCGAATCGTGAACGCTTCGCCGCGGATCAGCAAGATTCGCAATCGCGGTTAATTTCTCACGAAGATCGGAGTTTCGCGTAACACAGAGGCCTGGTGTGTTGAACAGTACATACACCTATCTACGCCTCGAGAACTAGACCAAGCGACGTAGACTTCGGTCGCGTGACCCAGATGCATGTAAGTAGAGAAGCGTAATTTAATTTCCCGCCGCTCTGTTAGTGTAATTGCGCGCCCGTCCGCGAAGTTAAGTAGTGTACCAACGGAGTGCGCAGCACCGGTGACATACGGTGACGTAATAATAACGACTCCAACTTATCTGCTGAGGTCACGACACTGAGAGCCTTCGCGCGGCAAGACGTGTCACCCTCCTATCTAAACAGAGGCCATTCAAATCGTGGAGATCGCGGAGAGGGAATTCGCGGAACCCGGTGTTTTCGTCTCTTCTCTTTTTTTCTCTTGCTTTTTTCTCTCTCTTTTTTTAATAGGAATTCACACGCGATCAAACAACTGCGATAACAACTTCCTTGCCTGGGCCAAGGTTGCCGGCGTTGAAGCGAGCGTAGTAGCCAAGTGGCCGGAAAATTTTCAAGCCGAAATACGAATCGGAGCGTGTCACTTTACACGCGGCTGCACGATTTGACACCTCGTAACTGCGTGTGCCCGTTTGCGGGGAATGATTATTGTGCATTGATTGCGACAGACGTATTGTGTAGATGCAACTCTACGTGCGTATGTGTGTACACGCGAAGAAGTATCATTATTCTGTTAAGAAAAGCGATTGCTCAGTTTGCTTTCATTCTTTCAAGTAATGGTTATCTTCAAGAAGGAATATTTTCTTGATAATATAACCTTAACCTCCTCAGTAGTGACTTGGTCACAGTAGTGAAATAATTGCGCAATTCCCCCAGTTTTTTTTTTTTTTAGATAAGCATATCTAAATATCTGTATCGCTATTTTTTTTATTTAAAAAACAGAATACGAAATACATCTGATTTGTATTTGCTATGAGTTAAAAAAATGCAATACTTTAGGTAGAGTAAAAATTAAATGTTTTACAACGAAAATTTTCTGGCCATATCACTTAAGGAATTAAAATATATTTGTCACAAAAATCCTAAAAAAGTGTCATTATTATGTTATTATATTCATAAAAAAAAAATTTGTTTTCGTTATAAAAATATTAAATTTTAAAAAATTGGTTTGTTTTGATACAGTAAACGAATTTTTATTTCAATCTGATATTTTTTATTGAAATACTAAATTTATTTGAATTCAGAAAATAAATATTGGGATGAATTTGATATAAAAATTGGAATGAATTTGATAGCGAACTTGTGTGTGTATGCGTAATAGATTTGTTATGACAGATATATAAATTTATGAAATACTTGAAACAAATAACATTCTCTCAAGTGCAGTAACTTTTCTGTACGTAAGAGAGAACGAAAGAGGAAAAATAGATACATCTGTAACTGTGTCCCCTATCGATAACGTTCCCAGTTTCCGAGAGACTGCATCCTATTTACATTTTCCGGCGATATTTACCGATGACGCATAGGCACGCACGCAAACGCTATCATTTCACTTTTCCGATGTTTGTACGGTGCGCGACGAGTCAGCACTCGTTGCGTCACAACGTCGTTAACAACCGCGTTTTCATACCGCGTACACGGCGCGACGTATTATTTTCGTCCCGGCAAGTCACGTGCTGCAGCGATACGGAAGCTGCGGCGCGGCACACGTTGTTTGGCATTATCCGTTGTGGAATTGACACACCGCGTCACGAACGATAGAGACAATAGCGCGAGTTAATCCGGCGCGGTGCGCATTTCGCAGCCCGCCCCTGCGGGGCCGACTGACAATACCGTATTATCGCGTAATTCGTGCCGAGCCGTTGTGCTCCCGCGACCGAGAAGGAGATGACGCACAATTCGACGGAAGCGAGAATAACAGGAATGACATGAGGAATAAAAATGTCCGCCCAAATCGAAATTTCGATCCCACTTTCAGCCTCCCTATTCCACTTACAATGCTATCCCTATTCAACGCTTACTTTGACGCTGAAGAAAGTGAAAAAGGAAATTTCACATATCATCAAAGTCAGAGTAAATTGTATCATTAGAATTAAACCTACTTTGCTAACTTAGTTCTTATTGCGTTGTAAAATTCACGGTTCAACATAGGTTCAACAAAATTTCGACTCGGACGGTCGTGCTGTCTTTCGTCCGTGGAACAGGAACGCAGATTTATTTTCTGTACAGACGTGAAAAAGATACGCTTCACGTGAAGCAAGAAATTCACGGGAGCAATTACGAGACCGAGAGAGAAAGAAAGGATCCCGACTCGACGAGAGAAAGTTGGAGCGCGGACGCTCGAATTTGAGGAGATAAAACGATGAGGACAAGACGCGCCACCTAGAACACGACAAATTAATGCGCAAAGGCCGCGGCAATACGACTGATGCCGTGTGTGTAGCCACGGCGGGAGCGAATACGAGGGGAACGCGAATGAAAAGAAATACAGCAGTCGTTTCCCACGTATATCAAGACCGGTGCGCCGCATCCGCTATTAAATCAACGTTTACAATGCGCCGCGCGAGACCAGCGAGACGTCGCGAAGGTTGTAGCGTTTCACCTGAATACATGAGTTACAAGTCTTTCTCTTTCTCTATCCTCCTCCTTTCCCTCTTTCTAACATACTAGAGGATCCCTTGTCAAATTAGATCAAATCATATTTGATTTGATATACCGCACATAGTTTCAGGTCGCATTGCTCCCTGAAGACGTGAACTGAAATATTCACAAAATGTCGGAACTAAACACGAAAGAACACGTAACTAACCCCGGAAAACACGCAAAGTATAGATCAAATCAAATATGTAAATTAATTATATGCATATAAGAACAAAATATGTATACTTTTCGACTTGAGGGAATATGTAACCCACAAGTGCTTAATAAATTACTTTTCTCTCTCTCTTTCTCTTTCGCTCACTTTCTTCTCGAATTATATCAGTTGCCTTCGATCTGAACCGATATCGATAATTTAATTAGAGTTCTGGAATTGAAACGTTATCTGCGAAGACGTAGAACTAATCGGAGACTTCGCTCGAATTCACTTCGGGCTATTTCTCCTCATCCCGACGAAATTTATTCCAGGATATATATTCTATAATAAGAAAAGCACACACACCGTAACCCGCAGCTGCTGCCGTATATTTGCCGCCGATCGATCGGTTATTTACGCCCGAAACGGTCATTGTTTCGGCCAGCCGCGACAACGGAATCCGCCCCCGGGCAATTAGCCGGCGATTACAATGTTTGCGGACGGAGGGCGGGCTGTGAGAGGGCAAGATGAATTATCGAAAGTGCGTTATCGCGCGATGGGTCGCGTCATTTCTCGCTCGATAACACGGCGCGCACCTGATCCACGGGCAATACGACCTCAAAACAAATCAATCGGCCCCCTCAAGTAGGACGAGCGGGGGAGTCGATGAATGGGGTCGAATAAATCGTGCGTATCTCAGCGCGAATTAAAGCGCACGCGATGGCGACGAGCGCGTTAAATCATCCGACCGACCAACTAACCAGCCAACCGATCTACCGAACGAACGAGGAATAAAAGACGTGGAAAGAAACGAGCGCACGCGGCTCGTCTCTTTCTCTTTCTCTCTTCCAAATATTCCAACGCGACTTCTGGCAACGAAAACGAGTCGCTGCATATTTCACCCGTTCACATAGCGCAAACGTCGCGCAATTTCAATTGGCGACGCGACGCAAATGGAGATCCGTCGTTCCTAGGAAAACGCGCGCGGAGTAATTCTCCATGATGCGCGATCTATCAATCTCGACGGCTCGATCGACCATCGCTACCCTACCCCGTTTCCCCCGCATCCCGACATCCCGCAGTGAATTGCTATCGAGAGGACGGTAGGTCGAGCTTTCGATATTTTCGTGCACGGGGCGATGCACGCGGCCGATGTAGCGGCCCGCGATTTATTTACGAACGATACGCGCGGTTCTGTCGTGAAAAAGAAGAAAGGAACAGAAGGGAAAGAGGAGAAAGAATAACAGAGTCAAAAATATATTTGCGCGATACACGACGACGGCGCGTTAATCGCGCAACGCCGCCCGGCAATAGGTATCGAAATTTATCGCCAATGCGGCGGCATAAAGAGGATTTATTGGCAGCGTCCCGCTCGTACGTCACGTCGCGTTGTTCTAAATTCAATTCGCCGCGCTGCCGAGTCGGGCGGGGAGGACGGAAAAGGGAGGGAGGGCGCGGCGGACGATTTAAACCTAGAGTGGAAGATTTCGTTCTCGAGCTAGCCGCGTCGCGTCGCGAGATTTCTTCCACGTCGGGCGAGCGGGGCAGGCAAGGAGAGATCGGAAAAACGTTCTCCGTAAGACCTGTCGCGCGAGGGATATGACAGGCAGGCGCAGGCAGGCAGGATGAGAATCCTCACGGCGATTACGATACGAAGAAGAAGCGTCAAGCACGTCCCGAGAGCGTCAGCTGATACCGCCAGGAGCAAAAACCAAGCGACGTCGAATTGCCGCGATGGCGAGGAGAGGGAGGAAAGGAGGGACGACATACCTTGCAACACGAGATTCTGCCGGCGCACCAGCACGTAGCCAACGACATCCGACTGTAAAATACGAGCCGCGCGATAAATCACGACGGACGAGTCGTCAGAGGCCGACGAACAAAAGCGGAGAGAGAGCTGCTCGATTCGAGAGAACGTGACTGAATCCGCGCTACGCGACGGTTAGGCGCGGACTGAGCGTGCCATTTCCTCCCACTCTGAAGTCGCCGATGATCTCTCCCCCCTCCCCTGCCCCTCTCTCTCTCTCTCTCTCTCTCTCTCTCTCCCGCTCCCTCTCTCTTTGCTCGGCATCTCCTCGATCATCATCCCCCTCGTCGTACATCATCAACCTGCCGCGGCGGTCCCGGGGGAAACTACATTCCGCAATCGCGATGCACGCGCGGAGATGTTACGATGATGACGATGATGAGGAGCAGGATGATGAACAGGAGGATGAGGATGATTCGGGTAAAATCATAGCGCGAGTCGAAGACTCAGCCGAGAGCGGGAATGAGGAAACGCGCGGCTCGCCAAGTCGATCTAAAACGCAATTTCACATTTAACCCTGGACGAACGCTGCAGTCGTACACTACCCCGTACGGAAAAAGCTTTGCATTCCCCGCTTATTCCATCATGTTAAGGTTATATGATTATACTCCCAGGTTATATGATTATGTTAGGAAAAAGTGCGTCGCGAAAGGTGAACCGTCCGTTCAAATGTTGGAGTTTGGTGCTTAAGTGTTTACCTGCAGGCCTTGAGCGTTCATTTACTACACAGATCACCCTATATGGCCTCAAGAGGATCTTTCTAAAAGGAAAATATTTTAGACCCAAAAAACTCTAATTGCAAGATGTTATTTCCTATAATTTCATATTCTAGACGGAATCTTTTACCAGAAGCTATTGAATATTATTCCAACATTTTTTTTCTTTTAAATCAGGAGAAATATGTTTACTTGGAAATATGTTTACTTTATCATCCTCTTATAATACATACACGATAAACAAGACTTATACTGTTGATAAAAGACGAAATTCTTCTATCTTTAAGATTATTGTGTTAAGAGCATTATTTTTCTAATTTTAAAAAAATTCTCTTGAGTCCATGAGAAGGATGATGCCTAATTTTGTTGTAAAACCCGTCATTGCTGTTTGTGTAACTTGATTAGATTTTTGTGGTAAATTGGGGATAATCAACTATCTCGTGTATCTGTTTTTGAGTGTGAAAATAACGTAGAATGTCTTGATTCTAGGATGTATTTTTGAGTGTATCTATTCTAAGGTATAAGACAAGCGTTACAAACAAGGATCAGTTTCGAAGAGGAGTCTTTTCCATTGAGGATAAGCATTATTTTTGCCTACCCTCCTGAGAAACATAGTTAGCCAATTATCTCCCCTTATCCACTTCCAGGCCAGAAGTCATTATCACCGACTGACAGTCCGACAGAGTCTCTATCTCGCGTGGAATAGAACGTCGATGACTGTCCGTTTCTACTCGAGGCGCACGGACACTCCACACCTGCCTGTATCTACTTGCGCTCCGGCAAGGGTCGTTGGCTGTCTGTTTCTGCTCGCCAACTGACAGGCGTCATTGACTACTAGCCCCGTATCTTCGATAAGGGCGTCACTCAACGAGCTGCGCGTGTTTCCACTTGGCAGCTCGCGTTTATACATTTGATCTTTCCTTCCTTCCTTCCTTCCTTCCTTCCTGTCTGCCTTCTCAAGTCCCCCCTCAGTCGCTCGCCCGCCCGATAACCCTCGCCCCCCGTGCGCGTTGCTCGATAACAACATTCCTCTCTCGCAGCTATCAGTAGTGCTCGAGTGGACTGACTAGCTGGAACGTTAATTATAGCGTCCGTAATTGAGTTTGATGGAGCTCAATGAGATAAGTGTGACCCTTGATGCAAGGCGGCCCCTATCCACGCGGCCGGACAGCATTAAATGCTGACTGCCCGCTCGTTTCCTCCTGCGCGCACATGTCGAGTGTCGAAGTCGACGTGTGCAATTTCCAGGAAGGCCCAGGAAGCGGCGGACGTTATTCTCGGCGTATTAGAACCTAACTTCGTAACAACAACAACGCTCTCGTTAGGAGCGCGAGAGAGTTTCGTGATATAATGAATTATAGGAGGAAGGAAAAAGAGAGAGACAGAGAGAGAGAGAGAGAGAGAGAGAGAGAGAAGACAACGCGATATCGTTCTGCGCTCTTAATTAGCGCTAGAAGTGACTGTTGAAACTCCGCCGTGTCACGCAGTCGACGAATCCCATCGGCCGCTTCTATCTGCAAAGGCAAACTGAAAAGTCTTTTCGCGTAGCGCAACCGCGAGGCATTGTGTTCGTCCTCTTCGTCTGCTCTTTGCGCCGCAATAGCTAGCGCGACTGGACGACGGGAACTTCAGCCCCGCTGAGATCTCGAGTGTATCCTGCCGAGGCCGATAATGAAGCTCGTCCACCGAGTTGAAAGTTCATTGTTCCGTTCCTAATTGTGAGCAGCTCCGTTCGCGAAGCAGGCGGACGAAATAATGCTCGCTGTTTCGAGAAAGAATCGACACAAGCCGCAAAAATGTCTAGAATGACCGCGGGAATGTTGTCCGTTAGAGAGAAAAGCAGAAGAGAGGAGAGAAGAGAGTGAGAGAGGAAGGATGGGAGAGAGGCAGAGGAAAACTTGTTCTCTCTTCGCGTAAAGTTTATCCAATTTTTCCGTACCAGAAGTTCAGCAGCGAAGTTAATTATCAGGCCGTTAAATACAACGGGCGGGAAGTTTTAATGAATGAAGAACATAGATAAAATTCCATGATAAGACCTCCGGCATCGCCACGAACCTCTTCCCTGGACTCTTCCGGTTTAGCCGCAAGCGGCTCCCACGACGTAAAGTTGTTTCAGTCGCGCAGTTTCTCCAGTGACAAAATTCGCGGAGGTCGCTGTTTTTCACGCCGCGCCGTAAACACAACGATCGAATGTACCGCACACGTGTATATGTCGTATATGTCGGATGTATCCTCGGTTATTTATGTGTCCATTTCGCCACTTTGGACGTCGATCTCGTCTCACGTTGGACAGCCGCACGTCGAAACTCGAGTGCGAAAAACGACTCGGCGCCGAGGTCGGACCGGAACTCGCCGACGAAATTTTCACCGACGGGAAAGAAGTCTCGCACTTCCCCCGGGGGAACATTTCCTGTCCGACGGTGTAACTTGAAAAATTCATGTTCAAGGATGGGCCGCGCGGCGTCTGTGAGGCTCTATTAATATTTCAGTAGCGGGGCGGAGGGGACTGCTACCTATTAAATTACATCTTTCAATATTCACCACAGCCGACCGCACTCTAGAATTTCGGAATAAGAGAGCGAGCTCTCTCTTGAACGAACTTCGTTCACATTACACGTTTCTCGTTAAACTTGGGTAGGCAGTATGGCCGCTTAGGAAAACGCCGTCTTGATCGAAATCGACGTAAAATTCGTGCCTCCGCTCCATCAGAGCATGCTCCTCCGATTTCGCTGTCACAAAAATGCACGCCTGTTATTACATGCAAATTACCGAATCGACGTGAAACTCCGCGAGAGAGATCATTTATCATCGAGCGCTCGTGCGGGGACGGATAAGCGAACATCCCGATATACTTGCGTACGAATGATCGATTGGCCCCGTAACGAAATGCAAAATTAGACGGTAAGACGCGAATTTTGCTCGCGTGACAGGACGTTATGAATGAACGTTCAGGCGCAAGCGGCGATAACAGACTTCCTACTATTTTACAACATTTCCCGTCCCGACTATTATCCAACTGCAATCCGCGCCGAGTAAAGCCGCCCTTTTATCGGACGACTAACTCCGTCCGCGGATACACCGTGTTACAAATGTGGCCATGAGAGAGAGACAGAAAGCCGAGGCTTTACGACACTTTATGACTAACTGATTCAACAATTTCGCGTCGTGCGTGCGCGCGACAAATCATCGCGTAACAACTCGAGCAAATCCCCGGCGAGATTAAATATCTCGTCGCCCGTTATTTACGAGATTCGATGGAAAAATCCCGCCAACCCGGAAAGATTTTGGCCACGCGTCGAACGCTAAATATGCCTTTCTCAAATTGAAACAATGCTCGTATATATAACAAGGATCTTGAAATGAAAAAGGCATGCGCTGAACGGAAAATCTAATAGCAAATTAAATTTGATTAAGCGCTTTCCAATATAATATTTGGCAATTATTATTAAATATGGCAATAATCATCGCATGGCCGTAATAATTGCAAGTTAATTAGTAAAACAAATTTCTCATTGTGCATTGAAAGAAAAGTCTTATAACAAAGTCTAATTAACAAATGCATTTGATTGGATAATATTTGATAATTAGTATCAAATACAATATAATAGTTACCATTGGCGTTGATAGAAATTATAAAATAATTAGTCAGACAAAAATTCTGTATTTCATTGAATCAATTGAATGGTTTGACAAATAGTACCAAGTAATTTGATAATAATTAGTCATTACCAAATAGTTTGAAAATTACCAAAATATTTGGTCATCTCGAGCATTTATCGTATAGTGATAAATGTTATTAAACAATACGGTTTCATTTAACAAATTTTTTACGAACACATACTGCATAGATTAGTGATATTCGCCAGGACTTGGCAACAGATACCAAGCTTCGTAATTTGGTAATTATTAACAAATAACCTTAGAGAAGTTATTTGTTTGGAGTTCCCTAGACGTGCATGTTCAGGTGAAACAATTTCACCAAAGCGTTTGGCAACTACTATCTAGACTTGATGGCTATGATGAAATCGTTTTCCAGTGTCCTTGATGTTCACTATACGTTCAGAATGGAACTCCAGGCGCGTTCGCGAATGAAAAGCTCGACACAAGAGACGAACTCCGCGCGCTTTTCCAGCTGCATATTTTTAAACGCGCAGTCGTTGCACCTACGATTCCGCGTGGTCATAGAAATTCCGCACGCATACCCGATATTACATACGCCGTATGTAGAGACGCCTCCTATGTGCCTATACTCCAGCGACAGTATCGTGCACGGATCATGTGTAAATACACGCTCTCGCGTTCCCCTCGGGCCGTGACCCGACTGCGCACGAGTCTTCGCGGTGAATTCCATCGTGAAAAGGGCCCTCTCCCTCTCTCTCTCTGCTCGCGCGAGCTCGTAACACCGTCGATGCACACGTGTGTACAGGATCGTGTCGTTAGGTGGG